CTGCAAATAAACACAGAGTTTTAATCGAAATCCGTCCAGAAGTATCTGAGATAAAGCGTGAATTCTACGAATAAAGTTAAAAATTTCTTTGCCACGTGACATGTACCCCCGTCCAAAATTAACTTCTGCCCTTCGCCTACGCAATGTGTACATCGGGCATCAACTGGACAGACATCACGTGACATAAACTGATTTACATTACGCAGTATTTTTGTGAGACGCACTTTTGAGAAATTAATTTACGTCAAAGTCGAGTTTCATACAAAGAAGTTCCTAAATTATAAGAATATATTTTAGTGCAAAATCCTTAATATTAAATTCCAACATTCGCTGAGTGTAGATTTGGGAGTGAAACTTCGGACAGTCTTTTTGCGTTTACTCTAAGCAATGAAGATACTTAAGCACCAAAGTTAACGTGCATTAAGTGTTCCGCTGATGAACTTGCAAGGCGCTCAGTCGTGCTATTCAGACGTGGTGAAACACTTCGCATTCCACGTCTCGCGTCCTTGGCATGCATACATACGAAATTCCAGCCAATGACTTGGATGCGAACATCATGATTTTCAGCAGAAAATTTTTCTACAGTGCAGAATAAAGGTACCTATTTCGCTCCACAGAACTGTGAACAAAACACGCTGTCCGGAAACCACCGAGGCATTCCGGAAACCACCGAGGCATTCCGGAAACTACCGAGGCATTCCGAATACAGTGAACCCTCCTTTAACTCAAAAATTCTATTATACGCGGTCTGCCAAACACCCTGTAGCACCATATGAAAAATACTATTATTTTAAAGCCTGTTTTAATGCTTAACTTTCCGATGATCTCTATAATAATACGAAGTTTTTAAAAATAAATATAATTGTATAAAATTTAAGGACGTGTATTTTATTTCCTTTGACTTAGCAAGATAGCGTTCCCTTTTCGTCCAACGTGGATTCGCCGCTTTGGTGGAACGCGTCACCCGCGTTGGACGAAAGTTTACTGTAATAACGAAGACTACTTAGTCAAATGGGACACGAATGAAGCAGATTTTTACACGAGGGTGGTGGTACCTTCCCGAATCTAGTTGCTTGCGTTTCTGGTCACTGGGTACGGCGAAGTGAACGACGACAAGCGGACTCAACGTACCTTGTGGGTGTGCCTTGTGTCGGGAGCTCTTTGCCATGGCGCTACTGATGCTGGTCTGCGCGTGTCTGGGGGCGATGACGGAGGCGGCAGGAGACGGGAGCAGGGAGGTCGCGGAGGTGGCGGCGGCGGGGAAGGTGATTGCCAGTGGACGGCCATGTGACCACAATTAGCGATCACAACTCAGCTGCAACAAAGAACAAACAAGTAAAACTCATTTCTGACGGAGGTCAAGTGTCATGAAGATGGAGGCAGTACGTTCCTCTCCTAAACGTTGGCACACAGCAAAAATATTACAAGCCACATTTTCGTCAAAACATCGGATCATAGCTGTAACTCGTTATAACATGACAAAAAAAGGTATGAACGTGTTTCAGTACAAATAAATCAAATTTACTCCTAATATAACAGCCGATGTCCGTCACTCTTGACTGTACAGGTGCGCCGTTCATGCAAAGCGGAAGAAATTGAGACTAAATGTTGGCGTTGGCAATAAGAAATGCAAGCCAGACTTTCGGGGAGGCTGTGGTGGGGTGTGGCGGAGTTGCGTCTCGCGGGAGTCTGGGCTTCAAAGGGTCAACGCTAGACAGTCCGGCAAATATTCGAACTGGATACCTCGGGAACTCACCCCCGAGCCGAGCTCTTCGGTTGAAGAACTAAAAGATAAGGCAGAGAAGTCCAATATTTACCCCCCAAGTTACTAATAAATTTATATCGACAACTGACTTGCTAATCACAAGCATAACAAGGAAATTACTGAACTGCGGCCTACAGAAGTTAATCTGCAAGATGATTCTCGCAGTTTAATAGGGCGAGGCAATAACTTTCACCGAACAAAAATACTAGTTCTCTCGCCTTGCATCTTGCCCTAACCTCGAACAAACGACGAGATTTCGATGCTGTTTCTCAACGCGGTATCCCGTGTTCCCATAGCGACAGACTATATACGTGCATAGC